TTTCCTCTGCCCGGCAGCTCTGCGGGACCCCAGTCGGAGCCGGCCCGAGGAGGAGGAGGATCCTAGGACCCAGGTGAGCGAGCCCCGGGAATGCTGCTGCGCATGTGCGGGAGTTGCCTCACCCCGTTCGTATCTAGGGATCCGACGTAAGTTGGATCCACGTAAGTCCGGGACTGCCTGTAACCCTTAAATAAACACAATCCTGGCAAACTAATAGAACCAAAGTGCCATCTCTAAGTATGAGGATTCCCTACTTGAAAACAGTAACTGAGAATAGATGTTGCATGCAAAAAAGAAGAGAAAAAAATAAGTTAAGTCAAAGCTAATGCTTTTCATAAACTGACTCCCACTCACAGCGACTTGGAAGATGAAGGTCTCTTCATTTCTGGCCACCTTCGACGCTGAAACTGCCTAATTTTCAAGCAGCAAAAGGAGAAAAAAGTTAACCATCACCAAGAAAACCACCAGCACTAGGGTCTGAAAGATGGGAAAAGATTTTAGCCTCAATCTGAATGACAGGAAACGGCACATGCTCTTCCAGTGAATAAACTAGGAATACCACAGAAATTCAAATTAATGGGGATGAAGGGAGAGTTTGCCTCAAAAGATATCCCAGAAACAGGTGAGTCCCTTCTCTGCTTTCCCAGACCCATTACACATTGCTTAGCATGAAGATGAGTCCTGACAAAAATTTGTTTTTTAAAATGTACCTGAACTGCTCATAGCTTCCATCTTTAAGTCCTGAAGAAAAACAAATAATAGTTATCATCTGATGCCTGCAAAAGAATAAAGTACTGGGAAAGGTTCAATGAAAAAAATTGAGACATTTTAGAACCTACTAACAATTCACGAGATTTTCGGGATTACATAACTAACATCAAATTAAGTGGTGTGTATACTGTTCTGTGCTATCGTTAATCACAATCAAAGCCTTTTCTAGTCTGCATCAACCTACACAGGGCTAGATTTTTTTCAGCACATGGGTAATACACAGCTATATCTACTATATTTAATGCACAAATAGATACAATCAGTACAGAAGCCCTTGTGCTATTTTTAACACTCTACCATTACCAGGTTTACTTCTCACTGCTGGTCACTGACAAATATCTTGAAAGTGTCAATATTAGGTTTAAGAATGTACATTTCACGGCAGTGATTGGGCATTTAAAACCTTTCACAACTATCGTTTTAGGCTTCTGCAAACTCAATGTTTGGGTTAACACTTGTTTCAGCGTTGGAAGTCTTTTACACTCATAAACATTAAAAACCAATTCTCATAGTCTATACTAGAAGATGTAATCAGCATTGCTCAGATCCTTAACTGAAATAATTTGTGTTTTTCTTCGTTTAAATCTTTCCAATATAGCTGCTGATGAGGGGGTCAGTATATAGGCTGCCCTGGGAGAGAGAACAACCCTACCCTCTTGAGTTTTTGGAAAGTTCTTCATGCTGATTTGGAATGCCTACTCCAAATCTGGAAATCTACAGTATTTCACTTTAGGCACACTAGGAACATAAATTAAATATGCTCCACAAATTCCTTGAGAGCTCTAAGTTGCCAGGTTAGTGTCATCTCTACAAAACAAGCTGCCAGGAAGTTTGGAAACACATCTTCACTATGGCTCCCAGGCACTTGGCTCCATGGTAGGCCACCTGGTAGCTTGCCACAGAGCCTAGGTGCATGTAGATTTGATGAATCAGTATTTTTCAATGGAAAAAACTTTATATTCGTGACACCACAGCGTGTGCTGGGAGGGGGCATAATAACTGTCGCCAGAGGCATGTAGATTAGGCTACCAGACATAGTAAAATGAAGCGGCGATTTAAATAATCACCGCTTCATTTAAATTTACATGGCTGCCGCGCTGAGCCGACAAACAGCTGATCAGGGCACAGCTGTTTGTCGGCTCAGCGCGGCAGCCATGTAAATTTAAATGAAGCGGTGATTATTTAAATCGCCGCTTCATTTTACTATGTCTGGTAGCCTAATCTACATGCCTCTGGCGACAGTTATTATGCCCCCTCCCAGCACACGCTGTGGTGTCACGAATATAAAGTTTTTTCCATTGAAAAATACTGATTCATCAAATCTACATGCACCTAGGCTCTGTGGCAAGCTACCAGGTGGCCTACCATGGAGCCAAGTGCCTGGGAGCCATAGTGAAGATGTGTTTCCAAACTTCCTGGCAGCTTGTTTTGTAGAGATGACACTAACCTGGCAACTTAGAGCTCTCAAGGAATTTGTGGAGCATATTTAATTTATGTTCCTAGTGTGCCTAAAGTGAAATACTGTAGATTTCCAGATTTGGAGTAGGCATTCCAAATCAGCATGAAGAACTTTCCAAAAACTCAAGAGGGTAGGGTTGTTCTCTCTCCCAGGGCAGCCTATATACTGACCCCCTCATCAGCAGCTATATTGGAAAGATTTAAACGAAGAAAAACACAAATTATTTCAGTTAAGGATCTGAGCAATGCTGATTACATCTTCTAGTATAGACTATGAGAATTGGTTTTTAATGTTTATGAGTGTAAAAGACTTCCAACGCTGAAACAAGTGTTAACCCAAACATTGAGTTTGCAGAAGCCTAAAACGATAGTTGTGAAAGGTTTTAAATGCCCAATCACTGCCGTGAAATGTACATTCTTAAACCTAATATTGACACTTTCAAGATATTTGTCAGTGACCAGCAGTGAGAAGTAAACCTGGTAATGGTAGAGTGTTAAAAATAGCACAAGGGCTTCTGTACTGATTGTATCTATTTGTGCATTAAATATAGTAGATATAGCTGTGTATTACCCATGTGCTGAAAAAAATCTAGCCCTGTGTAGGTTGATGCAGACTAGAAAAGGCTTTGATTGTGATTAACGATAGCACAGAACAGTATACACACCACTTAATTTGATGTTAGTTATGTAATCCCGAAAATCTCGTGAATTGTTAGTAGGTTCTAAAATGTCTCAATTTTTTTCATTGAACCTTTCCCAGTACTTTATTCTTTTGCAGGCATCAGATGATAACTATTATTTGTTTTTCTTCAGGACTTAAAGATGGAAGCTATGAGCAGTTCAGGTACATTTTAAAAAACAAATTTTTGTCAGGACTCATCTTCATGCTAAGCAATGTGTAATGGGTCTGGGAAAGCAGAGAAGGGACTCACCTGTTTCTGGGATATCTTTTGAGGCAAACTCTCCCTTCATCCCCATTAATTTGAATTTCTGTGGTATTCCTAGTTTATTCACTGGAAGAGCATGTGCCGTTTCCTGTCATTCAGATTGAGGCTAAAATCTTTTCCCATCTTTCAGACCCTAGTGCTGGTGGTTTTCTTGGTGATGGTTAACTTTTTTCTCCTTTTGCTGCTTGAAAATTAGGCAGTTTCAGCGTCGAAGGTGGCCAGAAATGAAGAGACCTTCATCTTCCAAGTCGCTGTGAGTGGGAGTCAGTTTATGAAAAGCATTAGCTTTGACTTAACTTATTTTTTTCTCTTCTTTTTTGCATGCAACATCTATTCTCAGTTACTGTTTTCAAGTAGGGAATCCTCATACTTAGAGATGGCACTTTGGTTCTATTAGTTTGCCAGGATTGTGTTTATTTAAGGGTTACAGGCAGTCCCGGACTTACGTGGATCCAACTTACGTCGGATCCCTAGATACGAACGGGGTGAGGCAACTCCCGCACATGCGCAGCAGCATTCCCGGGGCTCGCTCACCTGGGTCCTAGGATCCTCCTCCTCCTCGGGCCGGCTCCGACTGGGGTCCCGCAGAGCTGCCGGGCAGAGGAAAAGTGCCCCCCCACGCCCGCTGCCCCCCCTGCCAGCAACAGGCTCCCCCCTCCCCTGAGCAACAGGCTGCTGAACAGACAAAAGCAGCCTCTCTGCCCCTCCTCCCCTCTATACATGGCGCGCTCCCG